CAAAAACCGTGGAGTTCCAGGCCTTGTGGGTTATCGCACATAATATGACGAGGTATTTCCAGTTGATTTAAATGAGGGATCTTGTGGTACCATTGTACCCATTGAGTATGGAGTTGAGATGGTAGCGACTCATCCCAGCTTAATTGAAGTTGCCATAGTTGCTGCATAAATATTTTAGCCCGGACAATAACGGGTCCTATTAAACCTAATGGGTCGAATATCTGAGCAATAGATGACAATACTTGTCTCTTGGTGGGTTTACAATGACGTTCCAATGGTCCTACGGTGTAACAAAATGCATCATGTTGAGTGTCCCATAGGTGCCCGAGAATCTTGGTTCCATCTCCCAAAGATATAGTGGGCTTGTCGTGGATTTCGTGCGCACTCAGCAATGCAGGGTGGTTTGCCTTCCATTTGTGAAGCTCAAATTTGGCCGATTCGAGGATGGTAACTATCTCCTCCTTTATCCTACTTAGACGCTCGATGTCGTTATCGCCCGTCAGAAGATCATCCACATAGAAGTCGCGAATAATGATTTCAGCGGCTTCGGGATATCGTTGTTGTAAATCTAGTGCTGCTTGATGTAGTGCACGAGTTGCTAAGAATGCCGAGCAAGCTTCTCCATACGTAACGGTTTGTAGTTCATACGTATCAATCTCCTGTTCTGTACTAAATCGCCATAAAATGCGCTGTAGTTTACATTGATCTTGATGCATTCGTATCTGCCTATACATCTTTGAGATGTCGGCGGAAATTGCGTAGGTATGTTGACGGAAACGCATCATGATGCTGAATAAATCTTGCTGGATAGTAGGCCCTACTAGTTGCACATCATTGAGCGAAAGTCTTGTACTTGTTTTGGCTGATGCATCAAAAACAACTCGCAACCTTGTGGTTTCACTCCCTTCTTTCATTACAGCATGGTGTGGTAGATAGTAAGTGATTTCGTGTGACCTTGGTCGCTGTAGCTCGCTGTCCGTCCTTGATAGGATCTTCATGTGTTCCAGCTTAAGATATTCATGCATGAAGGCGTCGTATTGCTGTTTCAGTGGTAATTGTTTTGCTAATTTCCTTTCCAATGTTAATAATCTCCTTTTGGCAGTGTCGTAAGAGTCGCCTAATTGTACGTAGTTGTCCTTGAGAGGCATCCTTACGATAAATCTTCCTTGACGGTCGCGCGTATGCGTCTGGTAGAAGTGCTCTTCACAAGCTTGTTCTTGTTCAGTTAAATGAGTTCTGGAATCGAGTTCTTCAATTTTCCAGAATTTTTCAAGTTGACCTTGTAATGTAGACTGTTGGGCGATGTGGCATTGTGCCGCGTTTATGGCTTGTTGGGGGTTCGCGACTCTCCCGGCTATTACCCAACCTAATTTGGTTTTTTGGAAGACAGGCTGAGACCTGCTTAATTGTATCTGCCCGACACATAATAATTTCCAAAAGATTTCGGAACCTAGGAGCAAGTCCACCTTGCCAGGTATGTGAAATCGGGGATCTGCGAGTTTGATATTCTTGGGTATTTGCAAGAAATCTACACCGATGCTCGTTGCCGGTATTTTGTCGGTGATGTTGTCGACTACTAGGAATGACAGCCTCGTTTCAAACTTGTTGAATCTTGAATAGATGGTGGCGTCGATTTGTTGTCCTACTATGGATGAGTTCATAGTGATTCCAGTGATTTTAGTGTCCGCATTGTATAGAGGTTGTTTTAGACGCTCGCCTAATTCCCGCGTTATGAAGTTCGGTTGTGCTCCGAAATCCACTAGTGCTCTGCATTCATGTATTTTTCCGGTGTTGTCCCGCATATAAATTATTGCTGTAGACAGTAAGACGCATGAGGCATCGCGGTTATGGTGAGACGCTAGCGCATTAGTCACGTTTTGTGTATTGCCTACATTGAGTTCGCTCGCTTTCTGCCCCTCCTCCGACAATGGAACGTTTTGCCCCGTAGCAGCAATATTTTTTTTCGTTATCGAAGTGGTCTCATTCGAATCATCAGTCCTATCCGCGTGAATCAATGTATTGTGATACTTGTTATATTTTTTACATGATCCGTAAGTACATTTTTTTCCGTGAAATGGCTTCAAGCAATTGTAGCATAACTTAAGGCTCTTAATCCTTTCTACTCGAGCTTGTACTGTCGCGAAATATAAGGCAGCTGTAAATCTTATGTGTATTTTGACAGACAGGACAAGTAGTAGCTTCCGTGGTAACGTGGGCTTGCATTTGATTGGAAGGCTTGTTGGACTGATGCTTCGAATGGCTACCCGCGATCTTTGCCATACTAAGAGTACTAGTACGAGATAAGGCCTCCAGAAATGAGCATCTTGTTTCCAGAAATGAAATGAACTCCTCCATGTCGGGAAGGTCCTCTTTATTCGCTCTTTCGGATTCCCATTCTCTTCTGGTGTTGCCATCCAATTTTGGTAGGAGTAATTGTATGAGCAATGTATCCCAGCTTTCTGTAGGTTGTCCTAAACGGGTTAAAGTGCGTGTATGCTGTTGTGTCATATCAACTAATTGTCTGAGTGAAGAATATGATTCCTTTGAGAGATTCGGAAGGTTAATTAGAGCCCGTACGTGATGCTGAACGATTGCCTTGTTACCCTTATATCGATCATTTATGATTTCCCGTGCAATTAGATAATTGTCGCCTATTACTTCTAAGGACTCGATGAGTTTATGCGCATCTCCCACTAAGGCCCATCTCAAATAGTGAAGCTTATCAATATGAGGTAATGTATCATTGCTATGTATCATGGATGAAAAGGTATCCCGGAATGGCAGCCATTTTTCCCAACTACCGTCAAATTTCGGAATTTCAATGGTAGGAAGTCGTAATTTATTTGATTGTATTATGTTGATCGGCGGCTGTTCAGGACGATTATTCGCGCGCGACATTGGGGGTGGTGCAATCATGCTTCTTGCTTTAGTGACTGCTTGATGGAACTTACTCTCAAAGGCATCGCGTTCTTTGTTGTTAATTTCAGCCTCGTCAAGGTTCTCTAACTCGGTTTGTATCGCGTCGAATTCCCCCCATATCAAGTCTGCCTTTTCTAGGCGAGACGGTATTTCCGGTTTTTTCTGTGGATCGTTTTCACAATCATTGAGAAAGTTGACGAATCGAGTTAGTCTCGCCTTGATGTGGCTTCTTTTCTTTCTTAATATTTGCTCAGACATTATGAATTAGACAATTCTTAATAAACGCTGTATTGTATAGTATGTTTAAGCTTGCGCTCGTTGTATTCAATGTGAATGTGATCGAGATGTTACCTTTATTTCGCTTGAAATTGGTTTAATCTTACAATTTGTGTGATTGCGCCTACAGTTGAGTGCTATTCGCAGTGTGCGAAGAGACGCTGAGCTTGCGATGTTCGTGGAAGCACCTTCCTTTCAATCGCCGTTTCCGGTCTGCTTCTCGATTCCTTTGTCGTGTTGAAGGAACCGTGCGTAGGATTGAGGTTATGCTGCTTGTGCCGTGAATATATCCGGCTCGAAGGACCAAAATGGTTGCTCTCGTGTGTGCTCGCTACTTATTTTCCAGTAAATGGCTTGGATTTTTATGAATAATGAATCGTGGAACGGATGTTGGTGTGTGAGTACGTCCGCTTTATTCTATGCGTTACAGCGATATGATTTCTTCTCCTCGTGGTCCGTTAACAACTCTTAGCCTTAAACTAGATGGCGACTTAAACATAAAACGCAACATAGAATGGCCACGTAACTAAAATATTGAATAACGCATGGCGGCACATACAAAATAGCCAATGACGATATCATAAAAGGAAATGAAAACTGATTGCTTAACAACCATCCACTGATGTTTTTCAATTTACTTTAAATTTATCTAAGCCTAAGGTAATTTCTAAAAGAACTATTCTGTCTACAATTGCCAAATTATTTGATCCTTTAGGATTTCTATCACCTATTACCATTTCAGCTAAGATATTTATTCAGACATTATGGTCACATAAACTTGAATGGGATGATCAACTCCCTCCTCCTCTTTCTGATAAATGGACTAACTTTGTTAGCCAACTTCAAGATATGCCAAACTTTACTTTCCCAAGATGGCTAGGATTCCAATCATCAGATACCCTACAAATGCACGGATGTAGTGATGCATCACAACACGCAATAGCTGCAGTCGTTTATATACGATCTACATCAAAGGATGGAAAGATTACTGTCACTTTAGTGGCATCAAAAACGAAAGTAGCTCCCTTGAAGAAACAAACTATACCTCGTCTAGAATTAGCAGGAGCGGCATTACTCGTTAAATTAATGGTACAAGTTTTGCAAGTATTGGAGATAAAAGGTATACGTGTTTTTGGTTGGCTCGATTCTTCTGTGGCTTATACCTGGATCACTAACCCTCCATCGAGATGGAAGGAATTTGTTCAAAACCGAGTCTACTTAATACAAGATCAACTACCACAAGCCTCATGGGGATTAATTCCTGGTGTCGAAAACCCAGCTGACTTAGCGACTAGGGGAATAACTCCATCTCAACTATTGAACTGTTCCACATGGTGGACAGGACCCATTGGCTTTCTCAACACGAATCAACATGGCCAAAGGTCTCTGCATCTTTAAACGATGATGACCTGGAAGAGAGAAATAAACAAATCTCCACTGTTATTGTCGATAAATCCTCAGAACTATGGGATCTGATTTTTAGGTACTCGAGTCTCACTAAATTACTAAGAATAACTGCATTATGCAGAAAATTCGTTTCATTGCTCAGAAAACGTCGGAATTCCAGTGAAGAAAAATCACTAAGCATTACTGAAATAGAACGCGAAAAATTGTACTGGGTTAAAGCTATTCAAAAGTCTTTCTTCTCTCAAGAGATTAAGATTCTATCCCAAGGACAATCTCTCCCAAAATCAAATCCTCTTCTGTGTCTAACATCATACCTTGATAACCAAGGATGCATTCGTGTAGGAGGACGATTGGAGCATTCTCAACTAAGTGAAGGTTCTAAGCATCCTCTAATTCTCCCAAAGAACTCTGTTCTAACCACTTTAGTGATCGATGATTCACATAAGCGCACCCTTCATGGAGGAACTCAGTTGACTTTGTCATTCTTACGACAACAATATTGGATTATCAGAGGTCGTACTACAGTAAAATCCTTTATTCAGAAATGTGTAATATGCACTAGGTTTCGGCAAAAAAGAGCACAGCAATTAATGGGTCAACTTCCAGTCAATAGAGTTACACCATCTCGTGCTTTTCTTAATTCTGGAATTGATTATGCAGGTCCTTTTGTCATTAAAACATGGAAAGGCAAGAATGCGCGTAATTACAAGGCTTACGTTGCCTTGTTTGTCTGTTTTGCTACATTAGCACTACATTTAGAACTTGTCACAGATTACACGTCTGACGCATTCATTGCAGCTCACAAAAGATTTACAGCACGAAGAGGAATCTGTGCCACTTTAACTAGTGATTGTGGTACTAACTTTGTGGGTGCTGATAAAGAGCTCAAGAAACTCTTTTCTGAATCATCTAGGGAACTCAAACAAATAGCTATTCTTCTAGCCAACGATGGCACTCAGTGGAAATTTCACCCACCTTCAGCTCCTCATTTTGGAGGAAAGTGGGAAGCTGGCGTAAAGTCAGTTAAAACTCATTTAAAAAGAGTTGTTGGAGACCAACTCTTAACATATGAAGAAATGGTTACTTTTCTTACGCAAATTGAAGCAGTTCTTAATTCGCGTCCCCTTTACCCTTTAACAGATGATCCTGATGATCTCACAGTTCTTAATAGGAACAGCACCTACAATCATACCCGAACCATCGTTAGAGACAGTCAAAATGTCTCACCTCAGTCGTTGGCAACTGATCAGGAAGATGCTAGAAGGCTTCTGGTCTCAGTGATCAAAAGAGTATTTACAACGATACCATTCCATTTACAAGTGGAATAGAGTTGCTCCCTCGCTGAAGGAGGGCGCTCTGGTTTTGATTGTCGATGAAAGGAATCCGCCTTCAAAATGGCCGTTAGGCAGAATTATACAAACTCATCCAGGACCTGATGGTCATACTCGAGTTGTTACGGTACGAACTCAGTCATCAACTTTCAAGCGACCGATAGTAAAAATTTGTCCTCTTCCCATAGAAATTAATGAAGCGTAAATTGTTCGGTAACCACAATTACCGAAGGCGGGCGGAATGTTTAAAAATAACCGCGTAATATAAAATCGCGAGGAGAGGCAGAGCACCATTGTACCGACCGCAATGTCAATAAATCGATCGTATTAGTAACTCATAGTGCAGTACTCGGCGTTGTCGCCAAGGCACAAAACAAACAAGCGATGTATCCTAAAAGAAAACAGCAGAAATAATAACGACGATTGTCTACTCACTGCGCGTCGGTTTTCGCCATTAGAATCCGATAGTTCACGCCGGTCAGACGTTCAGTAATTTTGTAAAGTCTTTGGACTGGATTACAAACGTGTACAGATTTCGTTAACGACTACGATCATAAACGTTGCCGACTCAATATATCAAGAATATTTGCAACCAGCTACATCCTCTGAACATCATATGAGAGCTCACGCAAGGAAAGGATCTCTTTATCTGACGACAACGTGTCGTGACCCTTAAACGCAATTGAGAAGTAAGAGTTGTGATGCCGACGCTGACATCACAACTTCATGAGAGTTTTGCTCTCTGTCTGTTCCAAGAACAGTGCAGCCTTCACAAAAGGTATTTCAGTAGTATTTCACACAAACCAGAGATCAGAGTTCAAGGAGTAACGATATCTCTTGGTTTCAGAAACATCGCTCATCACGAGCTACGATTCATGCGCATGATATCGATATCAGACAGATTTTAAGAGAACATTCGGTTCTCTTACGCATAAGTAAATAGAATTTGTGAGAATCCACGGTTCTCTTCCTTACGATTTTCTTTCTTAATAGCAATTTAATTATTATCAACTCTCATCGTTTTAATAATGTTACAAAATCATATTCACATTTTATTTCTTAAGAAAGTTCAAATACCGTTCTTATTTTGTCAATTGTTATCAAATACTCGATTAATCAACGCTATTAATCACTATGCATATTGATGCATCTTCGGGATCCTTGTAATTGATTGTATTGATACTCATGTGTTTAATGTGTGATGGTGCATCTGCGTAAATCGTTTAATCAACTGTATTTCTATGTGCATGTTTTGAAAGTGATGAATCCTGTGACGTTAAATCAATTTAACTATGACTAATTATTCTCTAGATTACTATTAAACTTCGTAGTAAGATTCTACCATTCTTGATTTATAAATAAATAAGTTGACAGTTAAATTCATGTATTTTATCTAAGTATTAACTCAAAATAATATTATTCTCTTGCTTTACTCAATTCATATTCACTTAAAGTTTATTTCATGGTCCTTCGAGTTCAACAAATTTTATCTCTAATAATTTTACATGATTATATATGTATTATGATTGATTTTGTGTCACATATCATTCACACCGTTGTATGATCCACTTGTTCGATTATAGTTATATTATTGACATATATTAATTCTTTCTCCTTGGGTATCTCTCTCTCTCTTTATCTCTCAACCCCACCTTAATAAAACTATTTAGAAAGTTCGTAATAAACACGGTAAAACAATTGCAATGGAAAACGTGCGGAATCATGTCGACGTTAAACTTATAACAAAGTGGGATGGTCGCCATAGTGCGGATGCGATGATCTCGAAACCGAATTTTCATAGTCGCAGCATTTTTTCAGAAAATTTAATCGCCGTGGAGTTGCGAAAACTCGAAGTGAAATTCAACAAGCCAACTTACGTGGGTATGTGCATCCTCGACATATCCAAGATCTGCTTGTATGAATTTCACCATGAATACATGCTGCCTCTGTACAGCGACAAGTGTAGAATCATGTATACTGATACCGACAGTCTCATATACCACGTCAAGTGCGAGGATGTATACGAGAATGTGAAACGTGATATACACAGATTCGACACGAGCGATTATCCGGTTGACAACGCGTACGATATACAGCTTGTAAATAAGAAAGTGCCCGGTCTAATGAAAGACGAGAATAATGGTGCGATAATGACGGAATTCGTGGGATTCAGAGCGAAAATGTGTGCGTTGCGAGTCGATGGTAAGAAGGATACGAAGAAGGCTAAAGGCGTAAAGAATAACGTGGTAGCGCGAACGATAACGTTCGACGATTACACGCGGTGTCTCAACGATGAGATAGAAATGACCCGCCAGCAGACTTGTATAAGATCGAAGCTGCATGAAGTCTACACCGTATCCGAGACAAAAATCGCTCTGAGTCCGTACGATAATAAACGATACGTCGTACCCGACTCAACGGACACGTTACCGTGGGTTCATTACCAGATCCTTCTGTAACGTATAAGCGTAATGTATAATATGTAACATGTAAGTGTAATTTAGCGTAATGTACTGCATAATATGTAACATAGTATAATGTAACGTACTGAATCATTGGTTGGGATATTAATAAAAAAAATTCTAGTATATATGTAGATATATTCATACTTGTATTTTATACAGCTGTTTGTCACACATTTATATGTATATATTTTA